TAATTAAAGCAAAACCATGTATATTTGTGTATATTTATGCATATATATATATATATATATATATATATATAGCCATGGGAAAAAGGCCAAAGGAAACTATAAAAGCTTTGGTTTAGCCCTAGCCAATTTAGCTCAGTGGATAGAGCTTCCGCCTGTGGACTGAGGGGTCCTGGGTTTGATTCCAGTTAAGGGCTAGATCCCCAGTTGGGGGCATTCAGGAAGCAGCCCATCAATGATTCTCTCTCATCATCGATGTTTCTATCTCTCTCTCCCTCTCCCTCTCCCTTCCTCTCTGAAATCAAAAATATATTCTTAAAAAAAGCTTTGGTTCATGCCACATACTATTGTTCTTCTAGTCAAAAATGATAACTTCTGAAATACCATCTATTTTCTAGAAGTTTAAAGTAGTCCTTTCTGTAATAAAATTCTCTTAACTTAAATTCTAATTTTATTTACTTCTAGCACAATTCTAAAGTTTTGCATGCATACAAGGGAGTGATGAGGATTTTTTAAATACATCCGAAAAGGAGATATTTTGGAGTTAAACAAATACATCCCTGGTTATCGGGTGATGTATACCAGAGCTTAAAACCTAAATCATTATCTGGCTATGTTAGAAAGCAAAGGTCAGTTCTCTTAATAATCTTTTATAAGAAAACCAATCTCATATTATTAAGGATAAATGTCAAAAATATGCTAATGCTTATTAGCACAATATTCTTTTCTCATTTTCAAATAATAAAAACCCTACGTTGTGTTTGGAAAGACATTTCCTATATTAAAAAGAATAGGGTCATTTACTTCAACTAGAAAATATTTCCCTTTTGTGGCTTTTAAAGGTATTATCACTTAAAATTAACAGGCAAATGGTATGCCATTATTTTCAATGACCAAACTGAAATAACATTTCAAATCATTTTGCATTTTAAGGTCTACAGGCACATAGTACACAGTTCAACTCATTCCACACCTACTTGACCACTATACAGATGTGAATTTGTGATTCCTGTTGTACCCATTCATCAGTTAGTCAAATCCTTTCTCCACAGATAATAAGATGACACATTTCATCCAAGTTTCACCCATGAAAACATTCCAATTTAGTCAATTAAATATTTTTTGGGTACTAAAAGATAACTCTAAATTCACAAAGGTGAAGACTCACCTACATTAACAATAGATCCTTTCTGTTGTTGAATCATAGTTTTCATGGCAGCTTTGCAGGTCAGCATGGAACCCAAAAGGTTAGTATGAAGCTGAGATATCATATCTTCAGTTTTTGTTCGTACTAAAAGGCTATCCCTAAAAATTAAAAGCACAAAAATTAAAAATCAAGAAATATATAACATTTTTACTGAAAGTAGAGTATAAAAAGTGCTTCATATCTAAGCTAGAATACCTAGAAAGTCCCATTTTAAATTTGGTTTGAGAGGCACTAAAATAACAAGTGATAAGCCAGAAATGATCTGCTTGGGAGACAATTTCCTATCCCCGCAGGTAGAGTTGCAAATATTCCTGACTGTGAAAAGTGGTGCCATGTAACAAAAACAGCTTGAATTAACTGAGCAATTACTATATTAAGCCTTCCTTGTTTAATAAAATAACATATTATTCTAAATATTCTGTCCAAAATTCACCATTAAAAAAAAAAAGAATACCAGCTGTGATCCCATTAATGTTAAGTTCATGAATTGACAAAACTTATATATGATAACAGAAGTCAAAATAGGTGTTACCTGTAAGGAACTATTAACTGGGGAAAAACAGAGAGCTTTCTGAAGTGCTGGAAAAGTTCTACAGCTCGAGATGAATGTTGGTTACAAGGTTAAAAATGGTGGAACTGTGCCCTTATTGTATCATCTCAAAAAAAAATGCAGGGACTTACAGACCAAATTTTAAAATACAGTTTTTATGAGGACAGTGGGTGGGGAGTGAGGGAGGAGGGTGGGGTGGGAACTGGGTGGAGAGAAGTTATGGGGGGAAAAAAGAGGAACAAATGTAATAATCTGAACAATAAAGATTTAATTAATCAAAAAAAATAAAATACAGTTTTTATTCCAATTAGAAGTAAAACAAGTACCTGGCCCGTGCGGTTGAGCATCAGCCTATGAACCAGAAGGTCACAGTTCAACTCCTAGTCCAGGGTTGTGGGCTCAATACCCAATAGGGGGACGAACAGGAGGCAGCCAATCAATGATTCTCATCATTGATGTTTCTCTCTCTTTCCTCTCTGAAATCAAAAAAAACATATGTATGTGTGTGTATGTATGTGTGTGTGTGTGTGTGTGTGTGTGTATATATATATATATATTAACGTACTTAAATTAGGGACCAACCTGTTAATTCCAGCTGCATTGACCAAGAAGTTAACAGGACCTAAATTTTTCTCCATCTCTTCAAATGTATGTTTAACATCATGCTCTTTGGCAACATCACAGCTAAATGCCAAATGACCACCTACAAAGCAAAGATCAGAATTCGTTATAAGTTGTAACTGGAACTTAAAAACTATTTAGTATACATTTGTTAAGCAACTACCATGAGCTAGGCCTGTGCTAAACAAGAACATAGAGATGAAAGATGATGTCATGGGTTCCTGCTCCCAAGAAGTTCAATCTAATAAAACTGGAGTGGGGGCAGTGGAGAACAAGGAGAAATAAAGTAATAGTACAGAATATACACCTTAAAACTTGTTTTTAATCAACAAAAAGGGAAAAGCTTTTGGGGGGGTTCATAATGCTTTATAAAATTTACCTAACAATACTTTTATCTTTGACACTGACCCCACCTACTCAATTCATCAATCTTCTGGGTTTTATATTCCTTTGTTGAAACTTATGTCAAATTCTCTTAGGGTTTTGTCCAGTTGTTTTCCTGGTCCTGCCCTGAGCATAAACTCTAGGGTTCCTTTTTTCTTTTCCTTCTTCATTATGGTACATGTTTTATTATTATTACTCCTACTGCTACCACTACTATTACTATTATTCCAGCCTGACCATTAGGAGAGATTTTTTAAAAAAATGTTAAACTACAAACCATGAAAACCTTTTACTCAAAGCAACAGTTATTTTTTTATGTTCATTTTTACAAATGTTTAAAAAGCAGAAAGTTACACTTCAAAGAGCACTCTCTATTTAATAATACAGCATTTTAACACTCTGAAAGGTAGATTTTTTTAACTACTTATTTCTGGCAGACCCTGCCTACCTGTTAACACTAGAAGTACTCCCTCAAGTCTTTAAAAACAGTAAATCATTGGGAAGTCACACTTCTGGGTGTAAGCCACTCATGGAACATGATTCAAAGAAATGAGGGGCCCCGAGCATCCTGTCTCTCACTCGTGGCTTTCATCTGAAGAGCTGTTGGGTCCACAACAACCCTTGAAGGCTCAGCCAACAGTTCCCATCTAGTCCGGCAAACATGATGGCTGCCCTGACTCCTTAAGGACCACCTTGTTCACCCCTTTGTCAAAGTAACATAATAGCAAGGAATATGAGCAAGAAGCATTCACTGAAACTCTCCCTGGTCTATAACTTAGGTGTGTGTGTGTTTTCTTTTAGAAAGTCTAAAACTCTCCTAACCAGTGTAACCAATTAGGGTGAACTAATGTTACTGTAAAGGTTCCAGCCACCAAATGCATCCCCAGGCCTCTCTCTATTCCTGGTAGTGAACGAGGTGCACCTGTCCGTCCTAGCAATTAAACAAACTGCAGCATCTTAATACCTCCTTACCACCAAGAGACTGAAATTCGGAAAACAAGTAACTGATCCATTATGAAACAGGAGGAAAATAAAGCTGAGGTTTAAATGTAACTAAAAGGAATCTGGCAGAACAAATTCTCAATTGCCCACTTGTAAAAGTCACCAAAAGAATTTAATAACGAATTAAGTGCTTATGGAGCAAAGCAGGTACATCTCAAAACTGGCTGCAACAGTTTGAGGCATCCACACACAGGCAGGAACAGCCCTCAGCAAGAGGGGCCAGGTGTTGACGCGCCTACCTTTCCAGCCTCAACTCCCTCCCGCCCAGCCCCTGCCTCCCGGCCACCTGTGATCTTGCCCGGATGGGTGAGCCCCTTGCCCTACATACAAAGTTAGCTGCTGTGTGGCTCTCCTTCCAGACGCCAGGACAAAATAGCTCCCAAGGCCAGCACTAGGGGGGCGGGTGCCTATTAATAGGGCCTCACAAGACAACTAAGT